TCCCTCCCTCCTCCTCCCCCTCCTCCTCCTCCTCCTCCTCCTCCTCCTCCGCCTCCGCCTCCTCCTCCTCCTTCGGCGCGCCAGGGCCCACAGCTCGGCGGCGAGCGAGGGGGGGAAGTGAGAGGGAGAAGACGTTCCCAGAAGGCGGCGGGACTTTTCAGAGGCCCTCGCGCCTTCTGAGATGCGTTTTGCGTCTTCGGGGAAGGCTTAGAAGTCTTCTCGGAAGGCTTGAGGACTTCCGAGCTTTCTGAGTAACCTTCGCAGGGCTCATTTCGATTCCTCCGATTCGATTCGAGTCGAGTTCGATGGCATTCACATTTCGACTCGATGCGACTTCGGATTCCGTTTCGGATTCCGATTTCTCAACGGAGGCCTATTAGGTTGCCGATGTCTGCCGATTCGACTTCTCCCGACTCGGCTGTCGATTTCCGCCGATCCGATTCATGTCGATCGCCGATCCGACTTGTCGATTCGATTCTGGGGTATCCTGGCGCACCAGGGCCCACACCCCGCGTCGCGTCGTGGAAGACAAAAGGACGGACGGTATGGGGCGGTTGTTGGCCTCCAGGCCCTGGGACCGTCCAAGAAGGGTCAGAGGGACCCCTTCGCGTCGTGGAAGAAAACAGGACGGACGGTAGGGGGCTGGTTTGGGCCTCCAGGACCCGGGACCGTGCAAGAACGGTTCGGGATGAGAAGTTGGTCCCGAAGAAACGGGTCGAGCGCGGATCCAAGAAATCCGCGCGGAGCGCCAAAAGTGTATGTTTGTGCAGTTGTTTCTTCTAATCATGACGTCAGGGATCTGGGAGGAGGGGAAGGTACCGATACCGCTGCTCATGATTTGGAGTGCTCGTCGCCACGGCTGGACTTTCTCCTTGAGAAGTTCGGCTCAGAACGCGTCCCCAAAGATCAGGAGAGGAAGAAACACACAGACACGATTAAACGTCGGCTTCCATATTAAAGCATGGGCACACATATCGGAAGCGGGGGGAAGACGAGCACCCAGAACATAGTCGAACAGATTGGGAATCCTGGAATTTGCGTATGTTGTGTGTGTTGTGTGTGTGTGTTGTATGTGTGTTGTGTGTGCTGTGTGTGTGTGTGTGCTGTGTGTTGTGTGTTGTGTGTTGTGTGTGATGTGTGTTGTGTGTTGTGTGTTGTGTGTGTGTTGTGTGCTGTGTGTTGTGCGTGTGTGTTGTGTGTTGTGTGCTGTGTGTGCTTGTGTGCTGTGTGTGTGCGTGTGTGTGTTGTGTTTGTTGTGTGTGCTCATGTGTGTTGTGTGTTGTGTGTGTGTTGTGGTGTGTGTTGTGTGCGGGTTGTGCGTTGTGTGTGTTGTGTGTGTTGTGTGTTGTGTGTGTGTCGTGTGTTGTGGTGTGTGCTGTGTGTTGTGTGTGTGTGTTGTGTGTGTTGTGTGTGTGTTGTGTGTGTTGTGTTGTGTGTTGTGTGTTGTGTGTTGTGTGTAGCGTGTGTGCTGTGTGTGTTGTGTGTTGTGTGTTGTGTGTGTGTTGAGTGCCCCTGGGCCCCTTTCAAAAGAGCGGCTCCGGTCTCCGGGGGGGCGGGCCTCCTCTCAGCCGCTCCTTCGGCGGGGAGCATGGAGGAGGAGGAGGAGGAAGAGGAGGAGGAGGAGGAGGAGGAGGAGGAGGAGGGAGGAGGAGGAGGAGGAGGAGGAGGAGGAGGAGGAGGAGGAGGATCAGCGGCGAGCCCGGGGGGGAAGTGGGAAGGGGCGGGCCTTCTCAGAAGGCTCGGAAGCCCCCCAGGCCTCCTGAGAAGTTTTCTCGAAGCCTTCCCTGCAGACACAATCAAATCTCTTCAGAAGGCGGAGAGGCCCTCTGACAAGCCCCGCCGTCTTCTGAGAGGGCCTTCTCCTTCTCACTTCCGCCCCCTCGCGCGCCGCCGAGAGAAAAGCCGATCTCGAGCAAAAGCGGGTCTCGGGAAAGGGGCGTGGATTTCGTGAGGTCCACGCTGTGAGAAGTCACGACGTCGGGGGGAGGGGGCTTTGGCTTGGTGTGCGGGCCCACGGACCCCGATCTCCGACGGTGTGGCCTCTTTCGTTCAAAGGCGCGTGTCCTCGGTCTCCCGCCTCCTCCAGTCCTTCGCGGCCGTAGGGGGCCACAGGCGAACCATACCCCCACCCCCCACGATTTCTGAGGGGGAGGGTGGGGTTCACTTCGCTCGGGAGCTCCCGACCGAAGTCAACCCCACCTTCCCCCTCAGAAATCGTGAGGGTTAGGGGTAGGGTTCGCATGTGTTTGTGTTTGTGTTGTGTTTGTGTTTGTGTTTGTGTTTGTGTTTGTGTTTGTGTTTGTGTTTGTGTGTGTGGTGTGCGGGCCCACGGACCCAAATCTCCGACGTTGTGGCCTGTTTCGGTCAAAGGCGCGTTTCCTCGGTCTCCCGCCTCCTCGGCCGCGGGGTAGGCGTAGGGGTAGGGTTCTCTACCCCTACCCCCCACGACTTTTGAGGGGTAAGGCTCGCATGTGGCCCCCCACGGCCGCCCTGTCTGTCTCCTTAAGTCCCTCTCTTGCCCGCGGGCCAAGTCGCCATCCCGCGGCCCCGAATGGCCGCACGCCGGTGCGGACCGCTCCTGCCTCGCCGCCAAGGCGAGAAGTAGTTTCGGGGGGCCCGCTCGCATGCCCTGTGGGGGCATCGGCAGCGGCCCCAGGACGAAACCTTACCCCCAGGGGATCCGAGGAGGAAAAGGTATCCAGCCCTCTGCACATGGTTCCCTTCCAATGTTTCGAACATTCCTTTGATTTTTCAGGGTGCCAAGATCCTCTCATTTCTAATTCTTCCATCATGGGCCTCTTCCTGGCCACTAGGGGGCCAGGAACAATCAGAAACGAGCACAATTAGAAATGAGCACGATGACGTGTATCCATACCTCCACCCTTCGCCCGCTTCCCCTTGTTTGGGCCTCCCGGGAGGCCCTCGTCGCCGCCGCTGGATTCGCCTCGAAATTCTGGTCAGAACGCACCCCGGGAGAGGTCCGGGGAGTGGCGGTATCGGTAATTTTTGGTTTCCCAGGGGAGAGGGTCGGGGCTTCTGGGACCCAAATCAGGGGCAACGCTTGGGGGTAGAGTTCATTAGGCTCAGGGGGACATGCATCGACAACCAGTTCCCCATGGACCGCCGACAGGTGCCAAATGGCCCACACCCCCGCCCAGGAACGTGCGGTTTTGCTTATCACCGATGTATCAGCGACGTATCTCGGATTCCAGGTCAACGTTCCTCCCCCACAGGGTTCTCGAAGAAGAGTAAGCACCGTAAACAAAACAGATTCTTGTCCTCGCGGATTTCTTGGATCTGCGCTGGAGGGCACAGCGGCGATCCAAGAAATCCGCGCAGGCCATCACGAGGCCTTCTTCATAACACTTGTATTTCCTTTTAGAGCCCCCCTCTCCCAGGACTGGCGTGCGCGATTTCATTCGGCCCCCCTTGGGGGCCCACCACCAAAGCAACCCAGAGGTCCACCTAATTCTCGGGCGTCGCTCCGTGCTTCAAAAAGACGGGGCGATCGGATTGAGATGTCAGCAGGGCCTCCCGGACATGCACGCGCGCTGCATCCTCGAAGGTGGCACCAAGGCCACCCACCAAAGGTCACCGGTCACTCTTGCCTGGGGCCTCTCTTGCGCGCAGCCGGTCGTCGACGGCCCGAAGCACGAGGCGGCGCTGGCGCTGGCGGGCAGGTTGCTGCGTGCCGGCGGGGGCCTAGTCAGGCACGGGCGGAAGGAGGAGGGAGAAAGGAGGGAGGAGGAGGGAGGAGGAGGGAGGAGGAGCGAGGAGGAGGGAGGAGGAGGAGAGGAGGAGGAGGAGGAGGAGGGGAGGGAGGGAGGAGGGATGGAGGAGAGGAGGAGGAGGAGGGAGGCGGGAGGAGGGAGGAGGGAGGGAGGAGGAGGAGGAGGGAGGAAGGAGGAGGGAGGGGGAGGATGGGAGGGGGAGGAGGAGGAGGAGGAGGAGGAGGAGGAGGAGGAGGAGGAGGAGGAGGAGGAGGAGGAGGAGGAGGAGGAGGAGGAGGAGGAGGAGGAGGAGGAGGAGGGGGGGGGCGTCGTGGGAAGCGGGCTGTCGGATGTTGCCAGAGCGTGCCCCTGCCCCAGCCCTGACCTTCCAGGGTGCTGCAAGATTGGCCTCTTGATTGTTCGAGCGTAGACGAAACAAATGGCATGAACATTTTTTTTTCCGGAACGATCGGCAGATCATGTTTATGCATTGCAGATTTCTGGACTTATCAGGAGCGCTCCAAACTTCGACTACACGACGTGAGCTCGCACGTCCTGGTGCTATTTCTTGGCCCTCCTGGGAGATCCGGCGAAGGTGTCCCCAGGATGCCCAGGCAGGCCCAGATTGCCTCCCGAGCACTCTCGCGAGGTCCAGAGGGGCCCCAGGGGCTCCAACACTGCGCGAAAAGCTGGGCACCGCTTGGGCCAGGGACCCCCTTGGCGACCCCGGCGCGGGTCCTGAGGCAACTGCGGGTTCGTCGTGCCGTTTTCGGGCTCTCGGGACCCTCCCTGGGCCCAGGCCGTCAAACAAACAGCCTAGTAGCTTCTGGTGTCCCCAGGAGGGGGGAGGGAGCGAGGAACAAAAGGAGGAGGAGGAGGAGAAGGAGGAGGAGGAGGAGGCGAAGGAGGACGAGGAGGAGGAGGAGGAGGAGGAGGAGGATAAGGAGGAGGGAGGGAGGGAGGGAGGGAGGGAGGGAGAGAGGGCTGCTCGCCCCCCCTCCTGGCCCAGCAGAAGCAAGCAGCCAACAACAAATCAGCCTGGCGAAGGACCCAACCAGTATGCAGTAGTGAGTATACCCAGCTGTGAGCACAGTCTTCGGTGGAGCTCCCTACTGGACGGGGCCACGGAGCACGTGAGGAGTGTGCCGACATGGATGGGGGGCGGACGCGTGCGAACATCGTCACTGGGGCCTTCGGTGGATCTCCATGTAGGGCCACGCGGCGTGTGAGGGGTGCGCCGAGAAGGGGTGTGGAACAGCATGCGAACGCAGCCACTGGGACCTTAGGTGGATCTCCGTATGGAGCCACGAAGCGTGTGAGGGGTGCGCCGAAATTGACATGCGGAGGGCAGAGGCAAGGATGGGAGGAGGGAGGGAAGGGAGGGAGAAGGAAGGACGAGGAGGAGGAGGAGGAAGAGGAGGAGGAGGAGGAGGAGGAGGAGAAGGAGGAGGAGGAGGAGGAGGGGACGGGGAGCATTCTCTTTGCAAGACGAGCACCCAACGCTGCAGCATGGTTTGGGACAAGAGCGATGGGAAGCCAGTCCCTGTGGGGAAGCCCGGGGTCCAGGGCCCGCTCCCCTCGAGACCCGGCCCCTTGGCCTGCGGCCACTCGACCTCAAGCAGCGTTCGAGCGACGACGGCGGGGCGCATCCGAGGCGAACGGGGGCCCCGCTCCCCTCTCCGACAGAGGGGGGGAGCGCGGGGGGTTGCAGAGAGGCGCCTGGGCACACCGTCGGTGTCGTCGCCGTCGTCGCCGTGGGCGGTCGAAGTGCGGGGGGCCGAGGGTCTGTGGCGCGCTCTCGCCCACATCGCTGCATCTCGTTCCTTTCCCTCTCACGCCTCGTCGTCGGCACGTCTTCGGCGGCGTCTGATCTGGCGAGCCTGCGGTTGGCCTGCGCCGTCCTGCCGAGGCGCCGCGCCATAGGCTGGCGCATGGCTTGTGTTGCTTGGACCCCGCCGGCTCTTGGCGGCGCCATGGCCTCTCCCCCCTCGGGGCCTCCACGGCGGCTCTCGGAGGGCCTCTGAGGGCGGAGCGAAGGGATCCTCGCGCGGGGGATCGCCGTTCGGTCGGCTCGGCTGCGCCGCGGTCGGTCGCGTTCGGTCGGTTCCGCTCGGTCGACCGTAATGTCGCTGCCGCGTCGTAGCGACTTGCTGTGCGGCCTGCGGCCTGTCGATCTCGGTCGGGGTTCGGCATCGCTGTCGCTTCGGTCGGTCCTCGGTGCGACAGGTGGTGCGGAAGTCCCGACTCCGCTCCTGGCAGGCTGGTGGCCATCCACGACTCCCGCAGCTTCAAGCGCGGGCCCCGCGCGCACGCGTGGCGCCGCCACGGGCTCCGGCCGCTGCTGTTCACGGACGCCGCCTGGCTCACGCAGGAGCGCCGAGACCATCGGGGCAGGCCCAGAGCGAAGGTTCAGTATCGTTTAACCGATCCCCATCCCCATCCCCATCCCCATCCAGACTCCCACCATCTCATCCCCCCAGTTGGGGATGTACCCTTCGAGATCTGACAGAAACTGCATATGTCCCCATCTAGGGGGGCAAACCAGCCAGTGGGGCCAAGGCCATGCGTGTGGGAATGGGGATCGTTTAAACGATGCTCAAAGGTAGACCCCCCCAGGTCAATGAGAACACATCGCCTCAAGATGAAACTTTCGACGGTCCGCGCGGATTTCTTGGATCTGCGATGGGGCCCCCTGGCGGCGCCTCCGGCGCCGACCTTGGCACGCTCCGCGCGCCAGGGAGGGGTGTCCTGCGCAGATGCAGGCGGACCGCCAGAAGTGTATGTTGATGCAGTTCTTACTTCCTCTACCGAGAGCGCTCTGGAGCGCTCTCAGAGCCCGTGTCGGACGCAGGGCTTTGTCGTCTGCTCTCGGCGCTTCTCCAACCTCGGGATGCTTTCCAGCAGCTGCGCCTCACCGAGATCGCTTCTGGGGATCCGGATCGTCCCGAACGGCCGCCAGAGACCCGAGTTGTATATGACCCGAAAGCCCAGGAGGTGGATCTTGATATGCGCAGGCCCTGTGGGGAGGAGGAGGAGGAGGAGGAGGAGGAGGAGGAGGAGGAGGAGGAGGAGGAGGAGGAGGGAGGAGGAGGAGGAGGAGGAGGAGGAGGAGGAGGAGGAGGGGGAGGAGGGAGGAGGAGGAGGAGGAGGAGGAGGGAGGAGGAGGAGGAGGAGGAGGAGGAGGAGGAGGAGGAGGGGGAGGAGGGGAGGGTCAATAGGTCCAGGTTCAGCACCTGCCGAGGTCCCCGAAGAGCGATACCCCTAGCGGTGGTCACGGCTGAGAATCCCCGCCTCGCAATCGGGCAGGTCCAGGGCGTGCTCGAGCGCTCTCAGAGCTCGGGCTGGACGAGAGGGGGGGGCGGAGGGGGCGGAGGGGGAAGGGAGGCACTGCGAGATCTGCCACGTGGAGCCAGTGTCGGCCGCGCGGCCGGGCGCGGCCGTCGATACACTGGCGCTTCTGGGGCCGGGAGGCGCTGGAGAAAGCGGCTACGCGAGCTGATGCCCTCTTTCGCTTGGCATCGCTCGGCTGTGTGCCCTTTTTTCTCGGCGGGGATGATTAAGGAGCATCCTGGATCCTCCTGCGAAGCAGCCACGCACGAAACCGAAAAAAATGCGCGGGGGATGGACGCCCGAGCGACGGCCAGCTCGTGCTACCCGCGCTGCGCGCACCGCTGCTGGGGCCTGGGGCTGGAGAGAGGCACCCTTCCCCGGGGCGGCGGCGGGAGGGCGCGAGGATCACCGCGCGTCACGCACGGCGGGACGCGAGGCGCGACATTAATCAGGCGACGTAGAAAACAATTGCTCCAGAGCGTTCTTCAAGCAGTGGCGAAGCGTCCCGGCTCACCTATAGCCTTACCAAACAATGTTCTGAGAACCTTTTGTGGCTCCCACGACGTGTTCTTAGAACATTTCTGGCTGGGACTGTCTTGTTTGAACACATCGGGTTTATGTTCTAAGAACATGGTTTTTGTTCTTAGAGCATTTTTGGATTCTAAGAAGATTTCGTGGTATGACTATAGGAATGCCAGGACGGTCGGTCCCTGCTCAAGTTCTGCAACGCTTTCAGACTCTCAGAGCGCTCCGGAGGGCAATCTGAAGCGGCCCCGGCGCCAGAAACATCCTCCAGCCCCGCCTGTTCTCAGAGATCTCCAGCTTGATATTGGTCCGGATTTCTCTCAATCCTGCGACCGCAAGCCCAAGGCCAAGAGTCCATCGCGATGTCAAGAAACTACCAGAAACTACGGTGTTGACTGACCATGTTCGGCCCCTTGGGGTCATTTGTTGGTCCCCATGTGCCGCAGCAAAACGGCGCGGCATGGAGAACGGGTCCTGGGGAACGGGTCGGGGCCTCTGGCAGCAGTCCGCGCTGCCAAACACATCATGACGTCGGGTGTCTGGGAGCGGTCCCAGGCGGAGGGGTCATGGCCAGCCAGGCAGGCCATTCACACGGGCCCGAAGGCAGCTGAGCAACGGCAGACAACGGGGTCGACTGCGCGGACCTTCGCCCGTAAGCTGCCCGGATGAGGTCGCGCAGAAGCGCCTCCGATCCATACTGAGGCGTGCCGCGCAAGCCGCGGAGGAAGCTCGCCCTGTCCCATCGCGTCGGGCCCGTTTCCTCTCGTGGCTCCATTGCGCTGCGTGCCTCGCGGCCCCGGGCAGCGAGTGTGCCCTTCTGCATGGCGGGCGGCGCGAGGGCGCGAGGGTCCTTGCGCGTCGCGGGGCGAGGCGCGAGAAGTGAGGTGACGCAGGTGGGAAGTCTCTGCTCGCCGCCCTTCTCTCTCCTCCTCCCCCTCCTCCGCCTCCTCCCCCTCCTCCTCCTCCTCCTCCTCCTTCCTCCTCCTTCCTCCTCATCCTCCTTCCTCCTACTCCCCCTTCTCCTCCCTTCCCTCTTTCCTCCTCCTCCTCCTCCCCCCCCTCCTCCCTCCTCCCCCCCCCTCCTCCTACTCCCTTCCTCATTCCTCCTCCTCCTCCTTTCCTCTTCCCTCCTTCTCCTCCTTCCTCCTTTCCTCCTCCTCCCTCCTCCCTCCTCCCTCCTCCTCTCCTCCTCCTCCCTCCTCCTCTCCTCTCCTCTCCTCCTCCTCCTCCTCCTCCTCCTCCTCCTCCTCCTCCTCTGCGCGCGGTCTTGGGCCGCGGGGCCGCGATGGGGCCGGGCGGCCCCGTGAGATGCTCCGTCGGCCCAGGAATTCGGCTGGCTGGACGGGCTGTGGGAGCCGCCCGCCGCGGCCGCCGGGGGCTCCGGGCACGCCGCCGTGGCTGGCGCGGCGCGCGAGACGGACCGCGGGGCCTTCCAGGCCAGCCACAACTGGGGGAGCTGTGGTCCTTACCCCTCTGGGGGACCCCTCGATTTCGACAGCCCTCTCGAGAGATCGTCGATGCGATGGGTTCCCCCAGGGGGGTAAGGACCACAGCTCCCCCAGTTATGGCTGGTCGGCCTTCACCCTGCCGGGGCGGGACGGGACCTTGGCCATCGTGGAGAGGCTCGGGTCAAAATCGTCGCCGCCACCATCTGGGCCGCCCTCGTGGCCGGTCGCCGTCGACATCGTCGTGATTCCTGCTCTTGCCTCGGAAATGCAAGGCCTCCCTGCGCGTGCGCGGAGGAGTCAAAGCAGCGTCACCATCCACCCAGCATTGTCGTAGAGCCCGTCGGAGATGGCCAGTCCAAGCTGGATTTGCGCCCGGAAAATATTACCCCGCGCGAGAACTGCCCACGAGTCTAGAAACCAATGGGGAGAAGGGGGGACCGGGTGGAGGGGAAGGGCGGAAGGGGAAGGGGGGAGGGGAAGGGGGAGGGAGAGGGACGAGGGGAAGGGGGGAGGGAGAGGGACGAGGGGGGTGAAGGGGAAGGGGGAAAGGATGAGCCGGGGAGGGGCGGGGGAGGACTGCCGCATGCAGCCAGGCTCGGCCCCGCCGCGGAGCACTTCTCTCCATCTTTGGCCGCCCCCCTCGGCGCCGAGAGAGCCGGCTGCGTGCAGCCGAGGCGCTACCCCGCCCCCTTGGGACTCCCCCCCGTCGGTCGGGGGTGGGCAGAACCCCCCCTTGACACGTCGATTAGTGGATGGTCCGTTTTCGGTTCTCGAGAGGGCCCCGCGGCCGTCATTGTCCAGACTTGCGCCCGCCAGGTTTGGGCCCGAGGTCGTTGTCACTAAACCACGTTTTACTAAAGGGGTCTCTGTCCATCCCCGAGTCGTCCCCCCCGGGGCAGAGAGAGAACCCCGCCTCACCAGACTGTCGTCGTCGCCGTCACGGTGGCAGGGATGCTGTGATTTGGGCGACGGGATCCATACACCTACCGTGCTTCTGGCCAGGCTCACCCCGGGCCCGAGGGCGGTGCATTTGCCCCCCTGACTTGGCCAGGGAGGCGTATATGGTCCCGGGCTCCGGGCCCACGGGCCCCCCCCCCCTCCCCCCCAGATGGTATGGTCCCAGGATTCCTCGGGCCCCCCCCCCAGATGGTATGGTCCCAGAAACGACGACGACGACGACGACGACGACGACGACGACGACGACGACGGCGGCGGCGGCGACTACGACGACGGCGACGACGACGACGACGACGACCACGACGACGACGATGACGACGACGACGATGACGACGACGACGACGAGGAGGACGACGACGACGACGACGACGACGACGACGACGACGACGACGACCTCTGAACCACCACAGCACCACACCACATCCACAGGGGGGGGTAGGGGGGCACCGCAGCGCAGCACCACGCCACTCCCACCTCTGAACCACCACAGCACCACACCACATCCACAGGGGGGGGGGGGGGCACCGCAGCGCGCACCACGGCCACGCCCACGGGGGGGCGGGGGGGACCATCGCGCGGGGGGGGGGGCCCAATAGCATCAGCATTGGGGGGGGGCCCAAAGCCCTGGACCATATATATATATATATTATATATATATATATATATATTTGTATATATATATATTATATATTATATACCGGCCCTAGTCCCAGGATGGGCCTGGCCAGGGGCAGTCGATGCGTATGGATCTAGTCGCCCTGGTGGTCGTGGTCGCTGTCGTCGTGCCGCGCGCTGTCGAGGTCATGGTCGTCGCCGTGCCGCGCTTGCTGCCGTCGGTCGTCGTCGTCGTCGTCGTCGTCGTCGTCGTCGTCGATCGTCGTTGTCGGCGTCGGCGTCGTCGGCGTCGTTGTCGGCGTCGTCGTCGTCGTTGTCGCCGCCGCCGCCGACGCCGACGATGCCGACGGCGACGACGCCGACGCCCCGCCGGCCGCAGGTCCTGAGCCCTCGCGGATCGGGGCGCGGGGGCGGCGGGCGCCCTCGGCCCGCACCGGTCGCGCGCCGCGGCCCTCGCGCTCGTGGCCGCCCTCGCCGCTCCACGGGCATCCTGGGGCTTCTGGGCCCTGTTCGGCGAGTGCATTCTGAGGCCTCCAGAGATGGGGTCGGGGTAGATGTCGGCGGCGAGCGAGGGGGGGGAAGTGGGAAGGGGCGGGCCTACTCAGAAGGCTCGGGAGCCCCCCAGCCTTCTGAGAAGTGTTTTTTTTCTAAGCCTTCCCAGGAGACTCAGAAAACTTTCAGAAGGCCTGAGGGCTTCTGAGAAGTCCCGCCGCCTTCTGAGAAGGCCGTCTCCTTCTCACTTTCTCCCTCGCACATCGCCGAAGATGGGGTCGGAGGATCGCGCCGCATCGCCGATACATCGCCGATGCATCGCCGATGCATCGCCGATGTGGCTCGATGCGGAGCCCGACTTTCTCCGTGCTGGTGTCGCCGATGCATCGCCGACGTTGCCAAGGCATCGCTGGTGCATCGTCGATGCATTGCCGATGCATCGGCAATGTAGCGCGATCCTCCGATTCCATCTACTCGGACCCCATCTGGGAGGTCTCTATATTCAATGGGTACGGTTACGGCTGGGTGGCTTTTGCGATCGGCACCGCTGGGACCTTGAGGGCACGATGCTGTCCCCGTTCTGGCATCCACGGGATATGGTGGAGAACTCTGTCGAGTTCCCCGCCCGCCCCGGTTGCAAACACCCCGGGGTGCTGGAGGAGGAGGAGGAGGAGGAGGGGTAGGAGGAAAAGTAGTAGGAGGAGGAGGAGGAGGAGGAGGAGAGGAGGAGGAGGAGGAGAGGAGAAGGAGGAGAGGGAGGAGGAGGGGAGGGAGGAGGGGGAGGAGGAGGAGGAGGAGGAGGAGGAGGAGGAGGAGGAGGAGGAGGAGGTGGGTGCAGGGTGCCCTTTGCCGCACCCTTGGGCTCCTGGGCCCTGCGCCCGGAGGGGCAGCGGGCCCCGAGGGGAGCGAGCCCCGAGGATGTTCGCCGTGTTCGGGCTCGCGGGGCCCTGGACGGGCCCCGGGGCGGTCACAAATCCACTCGGCCGCCTCGGCGATCTCAGCGGGTAAGTGTCCCGGGGCTCTGCTGGGCCCTGTGCCGTGCCGTGGGAGGAGCGGGTCCCGAGGGGAGCGTCGGCCGTGGCCAGAGGTGCCCCCCAGGATTTCCAAGGAGGCCCCCACGTCCTCTAAAGAGCACCCCTAACGACGAGGCCCAGGGGGGGCCCAGGTCTTCTAAGACGGAGCGAAAAGCCGGGGGAACCTTGGGCCAGGGATAACTTGAGCAACCCCCGTCTGTGTTCCCCATGCAAATGTGCCGCGATCGAGGTTTTCCCGATCCGATCGGTTGGGAGGAGATATTCTCACACTTTTGACGCATCAGGGGCAACGTGTCGGCATTCTTGGGCGCCTGGGCCTTGTGCGTCAGGTGTTCGTCAGGGGGGCCTGCCTGTGGGCAGACCCAAAGGATCTCTTCGACACAGGTTCGACTCCAGCTCGACTCAAGGTCGACTCGTGTTCGACTCTAGTCCGACAGACGTTCGACACAGCATCGACGCATGAGTGCAAAGAGTGACTCCAGCAAGGCCTCCAGAAAGAACACACGGTCAAGAAATTTGGCTGAGCGTGTCGCTGCGCCGGTTCTTGCACACCACCTTTTGGCGCGAAATGCACACGCTATCCCCTTGCAGGGCATGGTGTGTCGCCGGGGCCGCCGCAGCGACACACTGCGCAAACGTGCCCGACCGTACAGCGTGCTGGGATCGAGGTGCTCGCGATCAGATCGGTCGGGAGGGGGTCCCCTCAGCTGCCTGGCACCCTTTGCTGCCGTGCCACGCCCGTGCTGAAACTCAGCGCGTGCCGTGTTCAGAACGTCCGTGGGAGCACTCTGCGTGTGGGCTCGACGTGCTGGCCCGCGTTCCGGCGAACGTGTCGCGCCAGGCCCACGTGTTCGATCCGTCGATCCACGTGCTGAGCTCCATATCGGTACGCTACGTGTTGCGTGTTGCGCCTCGGGGCAGCTGAGCTCAGCTGCCTGGCGCCGATGGGGGCACGGAGCCCTGGCGCGCCCTGCGACCACCCGCCGGCGCTGGCTTGGCGGCCTGGCCACACGCAGATCGGCCGGGGCCATGCCGTGCAGCAGGGCGTGCCAGAGAGGGTCTTGCCCTCGGCTTGGGCCGTCGCCTTCGGAGGGGGCCGTCAGAAGCCGGCGGATGCTGGCGGAAGCTGGAGGGCAAGCGGCCCTCGGGCGTTCCGCAGCGGGTGCTCGCGGTCGGTCGCGGTCGCAGTCGGGTGCGTTTGTTAGGTTCGGTTCGTCCGGCTATCGTGCCGTTGCCGCGCCGCTGCGCCCCTCTAGGCTGCTTGCGGCCTGTCGGTTTCGGGCGTTTTCGTTGTCGCTGTCGGTGCGGTTGGTTTTGAGTGTTGCTGTCGCCGTGCGCGGCCTTGACGATCAATGGGGGGAGTCAAAGGTTCCAGGGAGAGGGCCCTAAAGGTGCCCCGTGGGACCCCGAAGGTGCACGGAAGCCAGACTTCTCATCACATCCCGTGCATGGCCCCCCCCCAGGAAGCAACGTTTGAGAAACGGCCGCGGTACCGCTGGCGGAAGTGAATGTAGACGTCCATATTTTCCAATCCAGGGCTTCTGGCGATTGCTGGAACATTTGGCGCCCAGAGGCAGGTTTGTTCTCCTGCAGGAGATGTGGCAGTCTTCCTTCCCACAGCAGCGTTCGGTGCTCAGTGATCCTCCTTCTCCTCCTCCTCCTCCGCCTTCTCCTCCTTTGGGCATTCCATGTAGAGACCGTAGAAGGTGGCGAGTTGACAGTTTTTGTCTTCGCCAAGTCCGACGTGCGGGTACGTTGCCACTTGGAAGTTGTTCGGCCTACCTCGTTGCGCCCTCGTTGATTCCCTAAGCAGCGATGGCCCGAGGGTTGTTTAGCGTACAGTCACGACACCGAAATTTGGACAACTCAGGGCTCAGGAGGAGCCCTGGTTTTTTGGTGTTCGGGCCATTATTCTTCTTATTCGGGGACCCTGCCATGGCCAGAATAGCTCTTTCGCTCCATGTTTGGAGCGCGTCATGAGAACTCGATGACTGCGTCTTCCTCCCCCTTCTGTAACTATGGCTACGCGGTATCACTGGCCAAACTGAAAGCTCAACGACCCCTGGGAAGTCGAACCGGGTTGTTGCATGCCCTCCGGCCTTGAGCCTAGCATCTACGGAGTCTTTCCTCCAACCCCTCCTCCACCCGTTCCTGCGGGCGGGTGCCCCCGGCACCTCCCCCCCCGGCGAATCGATCCAAAGAAGGGGCCCTGAGGTCTCGTCGGTTTCGTCGTCGTCGTCGTCGTCGTTTCTGTCGTCGCGGCGACCACACGACGGCTGCGCCGCGCCGAGGCGGCGTCGGCGCCCTGCCGCTGCCGCAGGGCCAGCACGAGGTGCTGCTGCGGAGCAGCCTGGGCGACCGCCTGCAGCGCGCGCGCGGGAGGCTCGCTTTGGCGTGTCCGCCGCCGCCGCCGCGGCCTTTGCGGGCTCCTCTCCTTCCTGCTGCTGCTGCTGCTCCTGGCGCTCCTCCCCCCTCATCCTCATCATCCTCGTCATCCTCATCATCCTCATCATCCTCATCATCATCATCATCATCATCATCATCATCATCATTTTCATCAGCAGCATCAGCATCATCATCAGCATCAGCATCATCATTGTCATCATCCAGATCATCAATATTATCATCAGCACCATCATCATCACCGTCATCACCAACGTCACCATCAGCAGCATCATCATCACCACCACCATTACTACCATTGCCATCAGCAGCATCATCATCAGCACCCTTATCACCACCAGCAGCAATGTGGCCTGGCAGGATCAGTTCTGCTCTGCTGGTTGGCAGGCGCACCTTGCCGGCGCTCTCCTCGTGCTTCTCATCTGGTGTTCATATGCTCCTGCACCATGCTGTCGTCGCTGTCGTCACTTCGTGCGTCTCACCTTCTCACCGTCACCTCGTGTTCATATCCTGCTGCTGCTGCTCACCTGGTGCTTCTCACCTTGTCATCTTCACCATGGTGTGCATATGCTGCTGCACCGTCCTCACCCTGGCGTGCTGCTGCGGCCCCACCGGGTTCTTCGGCGGATGGGCGCTGGAGGGACGGCTCACAGGTACACCTACGTCAGCCACTCCAGGATATCTGGCCCGCATGGCCACCTTCGTCGAGGCGCGGGGCGACGCGGCAGTGGATCAGATGGCCCAGGAGTTGGACGTCTCGCCGGCCGCCTTGCGCACCTGGCTGGTCCAGTGGCCCTCTGCACACCGTGGTCCCCGCCGCACTTGACTGTGTCGAGGCAGCTGTTGGGCGGGTGGGTCCGTGACCTCAAGGAAGAGGGCGTGGAACCCAACCTGGTCCCGGGTTCCGACCCGCTCGACTTCATCGAGCCGGTGCAGACCCTCATCGACGCGCACGCGGCGGAACCGCCCAGGCTGCCGTTTGACGGTTTAGTCACGCCGCCGTCAGGCCCGTTGCAGGCTGTCGGAGGACCTACATGAGAAGAGCCGTGGCCGTGGGACAGCCGCTTGGAGGTCGCGTTGGTGACCCCACCGCTGTGCAGTGCCCGAAGCTGCGGGAGCTCCGCCAGGACCTCGAGGAGCGCGTCCGGCACCTCGAGCAGCTGCCAGGAGGTGAGGGTGGAGGAGCAGGAGGCGGCCGCCCATCGGCCACGCGGCCGGGACAGCAGTCGGCGGCTGCGACGCCGGCTACAGGCGCTGGCCACCAGTAGGGGAGAGATGGAGGCCGCGTCGGCTTTGGGGAGGGTTGCACAGGAGGGCCGCGCCGATGTGGAGGAGGAAGAGGAGGAGGAGGAGGAGGAGGAGGAGGAGGAGGAGGAGGAGGAGGAGGCGATTGCAGTGGCTCATGAAGTAGCTGCTGCTGCGCAGGCAACGGCGAGCCAGGACACCCTGCCCAGGTGCCCTGGATGCCGCGGTGTCTTGGCGCGGGCGCGGCCAGGCCGAGGTAGCCAGCGCGACAGTTGCGGAGGCGGCTGGGGCACAGGCGGAAGGGTGCTGACCTGCACGCACTGCGCGCCCTGCAGCGGTGTGCAGGGCGTGCGCTGCAGCTGCGGCGGAGGCCACCGCCGTGGCCGCGGCGGCACTGGGGGAGGAGGCGTCCACCGAGTCCTTGGATAGCGGCGAGTTGTTCCAGTCGCCGCGGGGCAGCCCGCCTGGCAGCGCGCCGGCCGACCCCAGAGGAGGCGGAGGTCGAGCCGCAGCAGGAGGCAGAGTAGGCAGAGGAGGAGGTGGAGGAGGTGGAGGAGGTGGAGCAGGAGGAAGTGGCGGGGGCGGAAGCCGAGGCGGAGAAGCAGGGGCCCTGGAGTCCGACTTCCTTGGGCGCCGCCGGGCAGCCCGCCTGCCCTGCCCTGCCCCGCCAGGGGTGCCTGACCTGCCAGTGGCAGCCGCCGGGGAGGCCAGCCAACGCCTGCCCGCGGACGCGCCCACACCGCCGAAGCAGGAGCACGATTTCGTTTGTCGTAAATCAGGAGGGGAATAATTATCCCAGTGCGACCCTACCTAGGAGTTGGAGAATCTAGGAAAGCAACATCTACATCTACACCGACAGCTACATTAATATCTACACCTGCATCTACATCTACATCAACATCAACAGCGAGACTACATCTACATCTACATCTACTCAACAGCCGGGAGTCTGGACCCGGCCCTGGCCCCAGCTGGGGGGGCTGGTTACGGAAGGCATTGCTTGCGGGGGCTCCGGTCCGGCCATCGAGGCTAGCTCGGCATTTGTCGCACATTGTTTTTGTTTTGCCTTTGCTTTGCTTTGCTTTTGCTTTTGTTTTGCTTTGCTTTGCGTTGCTTGTGCTTTGCTTTGCTGTCGCTGCTGTTGCTTTGCGTTTGCTCTGCTGCTGTGCTATGCTATGCTATGCTATGCTGCGCTGTGTTATGCTGTGCTGTGCTGTGCTGTGCTGTTCTATACGATGCTATGCTATGATATGCTATGCTATGCTATGCTATGCTATGCTATGCTATGCTATGCTATGCTGCGCTATGCTATGCTATGCTGGGCTATGCTATGATATGCTGTGCTGCGCGATGCTATGCTACGCTATGCTATGCTGTGCTCTGCTATGCTAAAGCTCGGCGAAGTTAAGATGAAGGTAAGCTAAGCTAAGATAAACCTGAGCTGAGATGAAGCTACGCTAATATAATATGAAATAAGCTAAGCTAAGATGAGATAAGCAACGCTAAACTATGGGAGCGTAACTGGAGGAACCGCGGGGCGGATGCCGGGGGAACCGCCCGGGGCGAGTTCCACTGCCAAGCTAAGCTACATTAGGCTAAGCTAAGCTAGGCTAAGCTAAGCTAAGGTAAGCCAAGCTAAGCTAAGCTAAGCTGAGCCAAGCTAAGCCAAGCTAAGCTAAGCCAAGCTAAGCTAAGACGAGATAAGCTAAGCCAAGCTAAGGGGGCGCGACTGGGGGAACCGCGGGGCGGGGACTGGGGGAACCGCCCGGGGCGCGTTCCACTGCCCGGCCCCTTTAAGCTAAGAGAGTAAGAACCCTCTAGGCAGAGCTTCGGTAGGGAAAAAACGCAGACACAATTAATCGTCGACCCCCAGGAAAAGATGGGAAAATATGGGAAGTGGGGGGGGGGAAGACAGAAACCCAGAAAAGACGGGAAATAAGGGGAATCTTTTTTATCTGCGTGTATTTATTTGTGTGTCCTGGGGCCCCTTCAGTGAAGCGACCCGCCCACGGAGGCGCACACCCGCTGCGAGGCGGCGGTCCACCGGAAGAGGTGGGGCCAGATCTGCAGGCAGTGCGGCATGTTCGCATGTTCTGCCACGTGCATGCTCAGGAGGGAAAAAAAAACACATACAGACGCAATTAATCGTCGATCCCCAGGAAAATGTGCAAAACTATGGGAAGGGGGGGGGAAGACAGAGTCCTGTTATTTGTGTGTATGTAATTGTGTCCCAGGGCCCCTTCACATGCGTGCTCATAGTTCTTCCACGTCATGTTCTCGTCAAGTTGTTGATGCTTGCGTGGGTGCGAATCGCGCCTGCAGGAGCGGCATTCGCAGCGACAGCTCACCGAGGCCAGCTCCGTAGACGACATGCCGGACGTGATTACGGGGCTCCCCGCGCCCCGGCTCCTGCACCACGTGCCGCCGGGATTTGCTGCCGGGATTGGCGAGCTTCTTCGCGACGCGATGCGCGCCCACGCTGACGCCGAGTTCGCGGCCAGCCCCCACCCGTCGTGCGAGGCCCTGGAGAAGACGAGGTGATTGGGGCAGCAGCTATGGGCCCTCGCGCAAGCGCTGCTTGCAGCCCCGCCTGCAGGGCCGGATGGCAATGGCGAGGCGACGGAGACGAACTTCAAGGTCGTCGAAGTGGTTGAGACGGGCCAGTGGTGAAGCCTATACGCCGAGCTGCTGGCCCTGCAGTCCTCCAGCAATGAACGCATGATGGGCCAGTACATCCAGTCTGTCCTAATGGACCAGGGCGGCGACGAGTGGATCTTCATCAGGGACGCTTCGAAGGTGAAGGATGGGGGCCTGGACGCGGCCAAAAGCATCTTGTTGGGGCAAGTCTCAGCCCGCCTGGACGAGACTACTTCGGAGCAGATGCAGTCGTTCCTGAAGCCTCTCAGCCACATCCCCGAAGAGGAGGACTAAGCTCTCAGCCGCAGCTTCGCCAGGCTGAAGTTCGCAGCACTGCCGATCCTCACCGTGAAGAGGGCGTCGATCTGGCGTCGGCTTGCTCCGCTCAACTTCTCTGCTGAGCCGGGCCCCAGCGGCATGCGGAATCGGATCCTGGAGATCACCCCAAAAGTCCGCAACGTCGTGGCGGCGCTGCAGCGCTGGGGTCCCATGTGGATCAGTGGTCGGGCATGCGCTCGCGCGACCAAGCCGTGGACTGCATGCGTCGCCGTTCCTGTCGACAAGGGCCCGGGAAGCCACCCCAATGGGCAGGACACTCCGACCCATCGCACTCACGGAGGCCCTTTGTGAAGTTCGCGGTGTCCGTAGACCTGGACGACTGCGTCGACGAGGTCAAGCAGAAGTTGGAACCTGCCCAGTTGGGTGTCGGCACGCCTGACGGCAATGGTTATCATTCTCTTGAGGACGCTGCAGACATGGGCGGCCAACATAGAAAATTCGAATGCCGTTCATATTGCCGAGGGCACTCTCAGGGACCTGGAGGCGATCATGGCGCTGGACTTTACCAATGCGCACGGTCTTTCTTCACACCGCTAAAACGCCATCGACGAAGTCTTTGAGCGTTTCCCAGTCATTGCCAGCATGGCCAAGTCGCAGTGGCAAGCTGAAGGGTGCACATCATTCTGGCAGCTGGTCTGTGGCAAATGGGAGCGCGGAGTTACGCTCCGAGGTGGTTTCCAAGGCCTTCGGCTGATAACTGTCTTGTTCTGCTGCTCGTTGCGCCGGTCGCTGCGGACAGCGGCGGAGGCAGCCGCGAACGCTTGCAGCATCCTGACGCCGGCGTAGTTACCAGGGTGACACATACCTCATCGGGAAGCTCTCCCAGATCGCCGATGCATGGCCGTTTCTGGCCAATGCACTCCGCCAGGCGGGCGACGAGCTGAATTTGACGAAGTCCGAGAAATGGCGCCCAGTGTCCGACAGCATCGAGCTCCACGACATCCCAGCTGCACACCGGGGCGTCCTTGCGGTTCTCCCCAGGGCGACTGGCGGTGTGAGGGTAATGGGAAATGCCGCGCAGGGAGTCCTACCAGAATGTTTCGGGCCCCGCCCAGCTGGCGCTCCAACCGGCGAGCGAGAGATTGAGGAAAGATGAGCTGCTGGGACATCGCGTGCAGTCGTTCCTCGGGGGGTCGGCTGACGCGCGTCGCGCCAGCGTGGCGTGGTGGCGGACGAGCAAGTGCATGAAAGAGGCATGGTCCCACGACATCCGCATCCTGCCAGCCAGCGACCAGAGCCTGCTGTTGGAGCGCCTGGCAATCGCCCTGCGCGAAGTCGCGACGGTCATTGGGGAGGAGATGTTGGCGATGCAGCATTGGCGCGGTTGCAGCTGCCAGGCTTGGGCGGAATGTTATTGAGGCGTCCCTCCCTGAGTGCTCACGCGGCCTTCTTGGCCACCGGGGTGAGCACCCGAGCCAAGGTCCAGGCGGCACGCGCAGAGCGCGGGCGCCAGGCGCGGGGTGACGTGGCTGAGCTCCACGCGCGCGCAGCCGCCGCCCGGCTGCGAGCAGCAGGGGTGGAGGTCCACGTCTCGACCGGCGCCGTGGCGCTCCACGACAGCCGCCAGGGGGCGACTACGAAGCCGGCCCATGTTGCGAGGACGCGCCGGCATTGGAGGTCGTTGCGTTCCGCCCGTCGGATGTCTCAGCAGAGACTGGCCTGGCCTCCCGTCTGCACTGCCACATACTCCGTGCACTCGAGGCCCTACGCGCGAAGCGCATTTTTCGGGCTCTGGAGCTCGGCTTCCTGCGCGGGGTCTTCCTGTCCGCTGGCGGGCCACATCCTGGGAAGATGTGAGTGCAGCCACCACGCTTCGCGGCCGAATGCATGGATGACGACCACTTGGGTATGGCGCTCCAGCTCCGCCTCGGGATCGTGGAAGCCCCGCCTGCTGCAGTGTGCCAAATTCCCCAGTCTGGGAAGGGAGCTGGCCCGTGCATCCGTCAGCTCGAAGACCCGCTGGTGCACCTGCATGAGTGCAGGTCGGGCCCGCCCGCTCGCGGCCTCACTTGTCCTTGCTGGAAACTCTGCTGCAGCTTCTGGTCAAGAGTGGGTGCTTCGCAAACGCGGAGCACGCCGTGCCGAGCTTGTACCGCATCACTCAAGAAGGCGTCGTTCCCGAGGAGATCCTGGACGTCGTCATGTCTATCCCGGGAGTCCTTGTTTTATTGTTCTTCGACGTGACGGGACGGTGCCCGCACAGCGACCGCAACGCTCAAGGAAGGCTGCCGCGCAGCTGCGTCCCCATGCTCCGGTGGCGGCGGCCGACGGGGAGCTCGAGAAGCTGGCGCGGTACGGAAGCCGAGTGTCGGCCCTCTCCTTCGAGACCTACAGCAGACCCGGTGCTGCCAGCCAGGCGAACCTCCGTCACGCGGCCGTCATGGTGGCCTCGCGGTGCGGCGTTGGTGGCCGCAGCGGCGTAGAGCTCTATTACGCGCAGTGGCGGTTGGCGCTGGAGCGGGCCTTGGCTGCCGCCATCGCCGACGTCACCCTGCTCTGCCGGGGCCACTCGTCCAGCTCGATGGCGTTGGCGGCCTGCAGATCCATTGGCGGCGGCAGAGAGCGGGTGATGCTATGACATACCTGCTTCACATGATTAGGATTGCTTGTCTAACTGCTGCTGCGACGTATCACCAACATCATCGTCAGCATCACCATCACCATCATCATCACCATCATCATCATCAGCAGCAGCAGCATCATCACCATCATCATCATCGGCCGCCGTCGCCGCCGTGGTTTTGCGGGCTCAGTTCCTTCCTGCTGCTGCTGTTCCTCGTCCTCCTCATCCTGTGGTGTTGTAATAAGCTGGTCGCCCGAGCCCGAGTCTTGACCAGGCGTCGTCCGAAGCTGCGGATCCTGCTGACTCGCTCGTGGGCTCAGGGGAACAATGGAACACCTGAAATGGGCCTTCATCCTCCTCATCCTTCTCCCGTCCTCCAGCCTGGGGGGGAAGCACCACTGGCCCTCCGTCCTGCTCATCCTTCTCCCCCTTCTCCTTCTCCTCCTCCTCCTCCTCCTCATCCTCGCTCTCCTCCCCCTCATCCTCCTCATCCTCCTCCCGTCCTCCAGCCTGGGAGCAAGCACCACTGGCACTCTGGCCTGCTCTCCTTATCCTCCTCCTCCTCCTCTTTCATAACATCCTCCGTCTCCTTCTCCTCCTCATTATCACCTTTCTCTTCTTCCTTCTCCTCCTCCCCTTCTCCCTCCTCCTCCTTCTCCTCCACATCATCCTCATGATCATCAGCATCACCATCATCATGATCACCATCCTCATCAACATAATCTGCATCAGCATGACCATCACCATCATCCTCATCAGTACCACCGTCATCATCATCATCATCATCATCATCATCATCATCATCATCATCATCATCATCATCATCATCATCATCATCATAATCTTCATCATCATCAGCAGCAACATCACTATCATCATAAACATCAGCATCATCATTCGTCGTTGCGGTCGTCGTCATCAGCATCATCATCAGCATCATCAACAGCATCATCAGCATCATTATCAACCTGCTGTTCCTCCTCCTACTTCTCGCCGTCCTCTTCCTCCTCCTTCTCCTCATCCTCCTCCTCATCATCATCTTCACCATCTGTCTTCGACCTTTCTCAAGGCCTGAGGGGTGCGAGACGTGGTGGCGTGAACTTGGCCTCCCTGGACATCCTCGTCGCCCTTGCTGGCTTGCCTTGTTGTTTGGCCTGTCGGCCCGCTTTCCGCCTGCGACGGATCGCCTTCACTAGGCGCTGCTCGAACATCTGTATCGGCTGGGCCCATCGGGGCTCGGCTTCCGCTGCCTCGGCGTAGGCAGGGGCGGCGGGGCCTGTGTGCCAGCGACCACTGATATGGTCGGTATCATCAGAGTCCCTCAGAAGCCCTCACTACCATCAACACCATCATCATCAACAACATCGTCATTAGCATCATCATCATCATCATCATGACCATCATTATCATCAGACTAGCATCATCTTCACCGTCAACAGCTGTATTCATCATCATCAGCAGCAGCATCATCAGCATCATCATTGGCATCGTCATGAGCATGATCATCGTCATCATCATCATCATCAGCAGCAGCAGCAGCATCGTCATCATCATCATCGTCATCGCGGTTCGGCGGCGACCCTCCTCGGGAGAGCGGGATCATCATCGTCATCGTCATCAGCATTAGCAGCGTCGTCGTATTCATCGTCATCATCATCATCATCATCATCACTATTAGCATCATCATCATCATCATCATCATCATCATCATCATCATCATCATCATCATCATCATCATCATCATCATCATCTTCATCATCATTACCATCGCCAGCATCGTCATCATCATCATCAGCATCATCATCATCGTCATCATCATCATCGTCATCATCGTCGTCCTCGTCGTCGTCGCCACCCTCATCATCATTCTCTGCACTTCCACCGTGTCGGATCTACCTATCATACCCTGCACCCGCCAGTCACCGCCAGGACGTTAGCCGATCAACCAGTCAATATTTGAAAGGTCGTCCCATCAATCAGTCGACCACCTGATGAATCCATTATCCAATCCATCAAACTTCAATTGCTAAGCGAGCAAGAGGTCGAGCTACACAATCTACTACTGGCATTTGCGCACACGATGGCAGCGGTCATCTGCCGCTCGCGCAGAGGTGTTCGCACCTCCTGCCCGAGCGAGCATTCGCGCAGCATCGGCGCAGGAAACGAGTGGGAGGGTGGCAGGAAGATGTCCTCCTTCTCGTCGTCCTCGTCCTCCTCCTCCTCCTCCTCCTCCTCCTCCTCCTCCTGCTCTTCCTCCCCCTCCTCCTCGTCCTCCTCCTCCTCCGTCTCCTCCAGCCAAGCCGAGAGGGCGCGGGCGGCCGAGGGGGGGAGTCCCCTAGCTCTGAGTGGGCTTCCTGCTGCAGAGGGGCAGTGCCTCCTCCTCCTCCTCCTCCTCTCCTCCTCCTCTTCCTCCTCCTTCCTCCTCCTCCTCTTCCCCTTTCTCCTCCTCCTCCTCCTCCTCCTCCTCCTCCTCCTCCTCCTCCTCCCCCTTCTCCTCTTCCTCCTCCTCCCCCTCCTTCTCCTTCCCCTCTGGTCAAGCCGAGAGGGCGCGAGCGGGGGTCGGGGCAGTCCCCCCGCTCTGAGTAGGCTTCCTGCTCGCGGAACGGGCAGTGTCACCGGCCCCCGAAATGCTATGCCGTTTTACTGGGGTGCTTAGTGGACCCTGGAAACGACAGGGCCGGTTTTCTACCGGTTCCGTTTTGCCGTGTTTTCGCCGGCTCCGACGCCCGGTTCCAATCCAGGAGCCGTTTTTGGTGCCGTTTCCGGTCGCCGTTTTTTTGCCGCTTCCATTTTCAAGGGACACTTTTTCGGAAACGGTGAGAAAACGGCCCTGCCGTTGTTTCCGGGGCCCACTAAGCTGGGGCGGTCGTTGGGCGTGTGCGTGCCCCCGTGTGTGGGAAGGCCCATGATGAGGCTGTCTTCGGAGGCTGACACGTGGAGAGACATGGCAAAGATTTGCGTCGGACAGCGACTTGTGGCCTCAACTGGAGGGCGATCCCGTACACCGTACAAACAGAAGCATGGTTCCCTCGACTGAGGAAGCTGCGGCCCGGCGCTCACTCCTAGCCCCGCGCGCGGCCGCCCTCACGGGCGCATCGGGAGTCGCCTCGCCGCGCCCAGATCATTGTTTTGTTGTGCGTGATGTAATCAGGAACTTCGACTTCACGTTAAATCAGGCACGTCCCTGTACAGGAGGAATCTTCAGAAATAGGCAAAGCATAGTCTGGGGACGTTTGCTGGACTATGTTTGGCAATGTTTAAAGCTGTTTTGCCTATGTGTTGTTTTTCATCCAACACCCGCCTGTAGGAGGACTTGGCTGACACAAGCTGAGCGTGTCGCTCCGCCAGTTCTGGCCCACCACGCTTGGGCGCGACGCGCTGTCCACGTCCCCAGTCCCAAGCCCGAGCCGTCGGCCGATCGGCCAAGTCGGCAAAGTGGTTCCTGATTGGTCATCTCATTGGCCCCCTTGCCACCGTCTCCGACTTCTGGCCCCGCACGGCCACACGCGACACCGGCCTCGACCCATGAGTGACCTTGCTGGCGCCCCTGCGCCCACACGCTGCGCCCGCGTACGGTGGGGGCGTTCGTTCAGGAATGTGCCCAGGAGGCTGCAGACCCTCGAGGGTTGCTTGTCTGACGAGGGCGGTCGGTATATGCCCATGGCTGGTCCACGATTGGAGTTCCACCGGCCTCCAGACTCTGGATTCCTTATCTAGGGATCCCTTGTGCAAGGGCTCCATCATAGGTGCCCCATGCGGG